ATCATCCTTTTAGAAATCACCCTTTTCAGGATTTATCCTTTTCAGGAATTATCCTTTTCAGGACTTATCCTTTCAGGATTTTTTTTATTCAGAATGAATCCTTTTCAGGAACTATCCTTAACAGGAATCTTTCTATTCAGATTGATTTCATTTTCAGGAACAATGCTTTTCAGGAGTTATCTTCTACAGGAAATGGTTCTTCTACAGGAATATGCGCGGCTGCGAGTGACACAAAGAATCTTGAAGTACATCTGTGGAGAAATCATTCAGAGGCAAAAGGAAAAAAACATATAAAGGATGCTTCTTGGAAAGAACAATTGCTCTTTTGATGTGTCTTCTTCAATTGTATACGACTGCCCAGAATGAGATCTTTCACAACATGAGGCTTCGGTTACTACTTCCAAACTACATAATTCAGGGATGAAGATGGATACCTAATTTGGAAAATATTCTATTATATTTTTTTGTTGGTAAAAGATTTAAAGCTAGCTGGCTTGCTTTTTGTTTTGAAAATGTATTTTCTATAATTGCTATTTATGTTTTATTGTTCATATTGTTCTACAATTTACTTTCTTTTGATTTCGCATACTTTGTTCATACGGTTTTTTTGCTGAGATTTTGGTGGTTGATTAATCGCAGGGAATTATTAATCCTAACTTGACATTATTATAAATACTTACTTATCCTTTTTTTTCTCTATAAATATTTCCTGAATTTTCTGAATTTCTGAATTTTCTGAATTTTCTGAATTTTCTGAATTTTCTGAATTTTCTGAATTTTCTGAATTTTCTGAATTTTCTGAATTTTCTGAATTTTCTGAATTTTCTGAATTTTCTGGGTTTCTGAATTTTCTGAATTTTCTGAATTTTCTGAATTTCTGAATTTTCTGAATTTTCTGAATTTTCTGAATTTTCTGAAATTTCTGAATTTTCTGAATTTTCTGAATTTTCTGAATTTCCTGAATTTTCTGAATTTTCTGAATTTTCTGAATTTTCTGGGTTTCTGAATTTTCTGAATTTTCTGAATTGTTTTCCTTTTAATTTAAATTGTAAATTCTGAATTTTCTGAATTTTCTGGGTTTCTGAATTTTCTGAATTTTCTGACTTTTCTGAATTTTCTGAATTTTCTGGGTTTCTGAATTTTGTGAATTTTCTGAGTTTTCTGAATTTTCTGAAATTTTTGAATTTTCTGAATTTTCTGAAATTTCTGAATTTTCTGAATTTTCTGAATTTTCTGAATTTTCTGGAAATGTCTGAAATTTCTGAGTTTTCTGAATTTTCTGATTTTTTCTGAATTTTCTGAATTTTCTAAATTTTCCTTTCCAGGAAGTATCCTGCAGAGAACTATTCCCTACATTTTTTTTCCTTTCCAGGAAGTATCCTGCAGAGAACTATTCCCTACAAATGTTTGCCTTTCCAGGAAGTATCCTGCAGAGAACTATTCCCTACAATTTTTTTCCTTTCCAGGAAGTATCCTGCAGAGAACTATTCCCTACAATTTTTTTCCTTTCCAGGAAGTATCCTGCAGAGAACTATTCCCTACAAATTTTTCCTTTCCAGGAAGTATCCTGCAGAGAACTATTCCCTACAAATTTTTTCCTTTCCAGGAAGTATCCTGCAGAGAACTATTCCCTACAATTTTTTTCCTTTCCAGGAAGTATCCTGCAGAGAACTATTCCCTACATTTTTTTTCCTTTCCAGGAAGTATCCTGCAGAGAACTATTCCCTACAATTTTTTTCCTTTCCAGGAAGTATCCTGCAGAGAACTATTCCCCACACAATTTTTCCTTTTCAGGAAGTATCCTGCAGAGAAATTGTCCCTACATTTTTTTTTCCTACCATTTTTTTTCCAAATAGGCGCCTTCAGAGAATTGTTCTTTAGCAGCATATTCCTGTTCAGGAAGGTTTCGTCAGAAAAGTAGTGCTCTGAGACAATATTGTTTCGTCGAAAATCAACATTCCTGCGAATCTATCAAACACACATAAAAATCAAATTTCACTTCTTATCACTTCTTTTCGCTTATTTTGGCTTATTTTTGACTAATATTCTACTATATTTGCTTATATTTTCCTTATTATGTTATAAGTTCACCTAAAAATTTAGTGGAACTTATAACAAAATATTTTTGAAAAAACAATTTGAACAAGATATTAGAAGGATAATAGTAACTTATAGTATACTTATAAATTCATTAAGTGCCTAAAGTGCAAATATTTGCATTTTGTGGTCTCAGCACACGGCTAGCATCGGCACCTCCACTGTGTTTCTCCACCAAATGTTCCAAAAACTCTTTCTGTCCGGGGGTTCCAAAATCACACAGTCGGCATTGGTAACGCTGCAGCGGCTGGTGAACATCATCATCATCATAAGACCATAACACCAAGCGAGACAACGCTTCACCAATGGCAGTGATAGCTGGACTGCAGTCCAACATCTGCGCAACTTCACGCAGCTTGATCTCGAACTTCATATTCACATTTTCCAACACCGCAAAGGCTTTCTTGGCAAGTTGCAATTCTTTGACAAGGCCTCCATAGCAATGCCTGCAGCAACATCCATCTCCACATCCGCCTCCTCAGCAGCTTCCACACAAGAAGAGCCAGTGCCGTCAGGAACAACTGCATTACCATCCCCTCCCACATCCACCTCCTGAGCACCTTCCACAACAGAAGTGCCAGCGCCGAAAAGGATGGCACTCAGTGGCACGAAGGTGGCCTTGGAAAGAATTCCTTCGCTCCACCCAGGAATTGACTGCATCAAATTGCGTTCCGTGTCGGATCTCCACTTGATACCACACTCTGCATCATCCGAGGCCTCCAGACAATCCAACTTCAACTCCTCGATGTTATCCACATCGCTGGGAAATGCAGCATTCATGGAACGACAGCGCACCTTCTTCTCCTTCTCGCAATACTCCGAAACCCGCTTGAACAACACACCGTCTTCATCTGAAGTCGGCAACTGCCAGCACTGCTGCACTTCCTGCCATTGTCGTATATCCAGTTCCAATTGAACTACCACCGGAGAAATTCCACTCCTGTACGCACAATGCCATGATGCCACAACTCAAACCAACAAGAAATAAAAATAAAAAACTTCAACAACAACAACATCAACAACAACTATGGAAATAAGAAAACCACACAAAACGTATAATAACCCAGAGATGCGTTTCGTAGGGGTGAAGAGCTTGATGCTTGATATGAGGGGTGAAGGCATTGATATGGCGATATCGTGCTGATATCCCCTAGTTTCTGGGGTTTGCCTGATTTTTTCTTGTTTCTTTGAAGTTTCCAGCAGGGTTTCTGCGTTTCTCGGTAGTTTTTGACGAAGTGAAGTTTCCAACTTTTTTTTCTGTTTCTCGGATTGTATAGCTACAAGATGTTTTCACGTTGTTGGCATGCATGCAGGGGTGATGTTGTAAGTGCAACCGATATCTAGTAGTTGTTTCCTTTTCCCGATTTCGAACCTGTGATGATTTGCCGCTCAAGCATGTCATTAGAGAATTTGGCTTGGTAGATGTGGTTAGCTACACGGGCTCATTTCAATTTTAAAAGTTTTCCGGCATGTGCTCATGCATGTCTTTCACGACGTACAACACTTAGATATTATTGGCTCGTTTACCTTCCCCTCGGTTCTGTGCAGTGCTGCAGCAGCACTATTGCGTCAGGACCCCGTTGACCATTTTCGGTGTTTGCACTTTGTACCAGCAAAAGCTCAGGGCCACAGGAGATGCACTGTTAAATCTTGGCAGCTCTCGGGCTCAGAGAAAAATGAGCGGTCACTCTTCCAATGAATGTGAGGGTGAAACGCAGCATGTTGAGGCCAGGATATTTGGAGGTCTCAAGAGTTCCCGATTTTAATGTGCAACCTCATGTATAGGCAGCTCCGAAGTCCCGCAAGGAAAGATGGATGGCAGCTGCCGCGCGCTCAGGAGTTGATATGCCGCTGCTGCAATTGTTTTCGAAGAATTTTGTTTATTTTTGGCCTAGGCAGCACCCAAATGGAAACGGGCTTCAGCTGAGCCTTCTCCAGCGCTGTCTGTGAACAAGTCGTTACCGAAGTACCCAGCGAAAAAGTCTGCTCCAATGAGTGTCCCGCCACAGGATCCTGGGAGGAAGCGGGTGGCCGACCAAGAGAAGAAACTGATGGAAATGAAGGACGTTACCCGCACCCACTGTTGAAATTTACACGGGATTTTCTTCTTTAAGATTCTTTTCCAGGAGCACTTGGAACGAGCTGAGCGAAACGTAGCTCCCAAGAAAATGCCTGTGCCACCAGCGGTTGTGGAGCCAACGGGTGTGAACCCGCCCAGTCCAGTGGCAGCAAAGGCGTTGCCTCCTGAAACCTCCACGCCTCCAAGTGGAGGCCCAGGCCACTGCAAGGTGACTGCTCACCAAGCTGCGCAAGGCATGTGGATATACAGGCTTGGTTGAATCCTTTTGCGTTTGGTGGTTTTGTCCACCTTGTTTGGTCACATAAGATGGGCCCAGTGTTTGTGGAGGCGCGCGAATGGCAGCACTGTTCGAGTACCTTGCCCACCGCCGAAGCCGGCTGTGCTACCGGGTCCATGGAGGCACCGCTGTCGAGGTTTGAATTTTGCAAGCAGATTGATTTCATGGTCATGGCATGATGTCATGGCAATTAGCCTGCATGCAGACCTCCTCCGCCGCCTCCAGCAGTGAAGTGGTGGACTTAGCGGAAAAGAAGCAAGTTCAATATGATGTAATTGGACCAATATTGTTTCAGGCGTGGGGGCTCTGCGCCGAATGTTGAGCAGGACAGGCCCCTTGGTGACCTATTCGTTTGTCTTCTGTGTGTCGGCTTTTTTTGCCAGGCCAAATGATTTGGGGCATGGCGCGGCGAAGCTTCTGCTGAGATGATATGGAAAAAATGTGCATGCACTGCGTGCATTGTCCGTACTTCTGCACGCATAGGCTTTTTCTCAGCGGTCTGGTTCTTGGTCTACTTTTTGGTCTTGTTGGGCCTGCTTGAGGTCCATGTTTCGCGTTGCTTCCTTCTCAGCACAAGTCGTTGCTGCCAGCTTTGCACAGCCAACTTTGCTTGTCTTGCAGGCGCGTCTGAACTCAGGTGATGGACTATGACTACTTCGGTCGGGGCCTTAGTCTTGCATGCACATTCAGGCATTGCATTCATGACACTTGCATTGGACTGATCCACGCATGCACATGCATAAGTTTCATTGAAAACATGCATTCCATTCATACCGCATGCATGCCATTCCTGAAACATGCATGGCATTCATGCGGCATTCATGCAACATGCATGGTCATTCATTAAAAAAACATGAGGCACCCATGGCATTCATGAGATTATTTCATGAACAATGCATGGCATTCATGATCCATGCATGTCATTCATGAGGCAGGCAAGGCATTCATGAAACATGCATGGCATTCATGAGGCACGCGTGGCATTCACGATGCATGCATGGAATTCATGAGGTACTCATGGCATACATGAGGCATGCATGCATGCCTCAGATGGGACATGCGCGAACGTCACCATGCAGACATACACATCAAGTATGTCTGTCTGTTTTGTATGCAAGCTTTATTTGAGCTTGTTCTTGTCCACTAGTTGTTTTGACCAGGCTTTTCGGAGACATCGGTGGTGGTACGGGTCAGCATCAAGTGCCCCGTGCCATCTCAATTGTCACTTTCTGAAAGCTTGGCATGTTTAAATGTTGACGCATGGCCCCCGTGTAAAATGCAGCTGTTTCAGCTTGGTTATCCATACAAAGGGAAGCATGCCACGTGGTTTAGTGCAGCTCCAAAAGGAGCCCCGCTTAGTTGACAAGTATGTCGAAGCCTTTGCGAATGAGCCTGAGCTTAAGCAGGCAAGATTCCTGAAGGTATCACGCTGCCTTTTGGTATGAACTTGTGTTCCGCTGTGCGTGCCTCTTCAGGTGGGCTTTTCCTTTGTGAAAGCCTTCTCGAAAGATCTGTTTGGATCCAAGAAGCCCGCCTCTTTGAAAGACGTGGAATTGAACCCGCAGGCACGGTCTGCTCCGTTCCTTTTTTTTGGAAAGCTGAAAATGATTTTTTTGGTTTTCGTGGCAGGCAGTATTTGCAGTCATGAGCATCAGTCCGAATGGGCGGCTGAGTGAGGAGGTCCTGGCCCATTCCATAGAAGGCTTCTACACCCAGAGTTCTTTGATTCCAGCAGGAATTGCCATAGAAGCTTTGGCCCCATGGTCTGGCAAGATGGCCTGTGGGCTACGCAAATGTGTGGAGAAGTTCCGAAAAATTTACCGCGAGACACCTGGCAAGTCCAAGAGCGAGAAGCTCACTGCACTGAAACTGCGCATGAAGAATGCCAGATGTGAGCCATCTCCTGACGCTCATACTGGCGTGGGACTGGAAGAGGACGATCTGAATGAGTTGGTCCAGCCGCACTGCGACCAGCCGCAGTGCGACAAGTTGGAGCTGGCCTTGCCACCTCCCACTGCCAAGCCAGATTTGGCCGCTTTGGCATTGAAAATGAAAAAGCACACGGAAGCCTTAGCCGCAGCTGCCCGCCCAGTGGCCACCCCAGCTCGCAGCAACTACCAGCTGCCGGACTTTGTGGTCACCAGTTTGGCAAACCAGGCTGCTGACCCACCGGAACCTTTTGCAACCAAATCCGGGATACCGCCAGCTGGCTGAGGCTCAGGCGGGCGAGGCCAAGACAAAAAAAGCACCGAAACGGAAGGCGAAGAAGAACAAGAGTGGCCTCAAGAAATCTGTGGTAGCTGGCCCTGAAGAGGAAGCAGCATTGGCACTTCCTTCAGGAATCTCTGCTGGGGCAGTTGCTGAAGGGCCAAGAGTGGAGTCAAGTGGCTCTTCCGACCAAGCGTTGGGCACTGAGGGTGCGACATACCAGCCGAGGGTCTTTAGCAAGGCTCGACTGGCGTACATTGCTGAGAAGAGAAAGGATGGCGCGACCTTCAAGCAGGCCAGTGGCATGTGGATGGCCTCCAATGAGAGAGCCACCTACTTGGCGACGTTGAGCCCATCTGAACTGAAGAAACACCGCTTCCTTTAATTTGTTTTCTTCTGCGGGGAAATCCTCGCTTGAAATTCAGGTACTATATAGTTGACTGGCAGGGGCGCGCCGGCTTTGGGAAAAATTGTAGATGGCATTCATTTCACAACAGGTCTGGAGCTGAACACTGTCAAGAGAAATCAAGGCAAGTTTGGATGCTGTACCCGAGCCTCTTTGCTCAAGGCTTTCTTCACATGTATCATGGGGGTAGCGGAAATGCTTCACTGGGGTGTGCCCCTTCCAGCAATAGTCCTTATGGTAATGATGTGCCACTGTGGCCCGTTGGAGAGCTCACAGGCGCGATTGCTTTTTTGCCTTCGACACATGTTGATACAGTTTTGTGTTTTTCTTGCAGCGCTCAGGTATATGATTTCTGCGAATACTTCTGTGGAGAGCATCGTGTCTCGACTGCTCTCCGCCAAGTCTGGGCCCAAACGCAAGTTTTGCACATCGTTGGAAAGGTCTATAGATAGCGATCTCACTGAGGCTGGCTATGTCAGTGCCTGCATGGATATATTGCTTGATGATGGCCACCACACATTTGACTTTCTCAGTGAAGCCGGTTTCCTGCCTGAAGCTGAGATGGCATTCTGTGAAGGGGTCCAAGCTACCAAATTCTTCTTCGTCTCTCATATGCCAGGTCCGCTTTGCAGGCAGTCCGCCGCTGCAAACGTGGAGCCTTGCATATCATTGCAATTTGCTGCAACAGTTTCTGTTTGCCGTTTCTTGACAGCAGGTTGCTGCACGTGTGTCCGGCGGCTTTGTTTTGTATTTTGCAGACATGTTTCTCAGGTGTGCAGGAACGCATGGGCGTAGCCTCATTTTCCCCTTGGGAAACCAGGGATACCGCTTCGTGCGGGAAGGGAATCTCTTAGCGAGCCGTGTGTGCATCCTCATCCTGGTCATTTGCAGTCAAGGATGCCGATTTGTACTAGAACAACCACAGGGTAGTTTCTTGGAACACCACCCCAGGATGTCTTGGCTTTTTACTTTTTTGAAGCTGGTTCGTGCCGCCTTCTGGGGTGGCGCGTTTGCTGCTTCACCGGAGAGTGCATCAGCAAAGAGACACATTTTATGGTCCAACGATCCTCCGACATTGAAAGCTGTGGAAACAGCTGCCGGACACCTGTCCAAATCCCAGCTGGAAAGTTTTGGCATGAGTCTTGTGAACAAAAAAAGGCGGCAAGATGGATCAATGGCCTTCAATGGAAATGGCAACATGCGAGGCTCCCAGTTACTTGGTTGCACTAATGTGGACCCAAGTTATCCAGTTTCAACACTGGCTGTGTTATCTCTTCTTCTCTGGGCAGGGCCTACCACGAACGCTTCGGAACTTTTCTGGCGCAGCTGATGAGAGACATGGACACCACCTGGGAGGCCGCGCTTAAGTAGGTTTGGTATATCATTGCATGGAGCACCATTGGCCCGTTCCAGGGGCAAGTTCTGGCACCTAATCCTTCCCGAACGGTGTCGTGGGAGAAATCAGACCTGGAGCTTTTCAAGGCAGGCAGCATGCTCATAACCTCTTCCCTTTTCCGCCCCTTTCCTTTCTCACCACAGCAGGACATAGACTTTACAGATGCTGACATGTGGTCAGATGCTGGAAGCTCATAGATGGCTCTTCCTCTGGAAAGTCCTCTGTGCAATTGACACATTTGCTCCCTTGAGGCAGAGTTGGCTCCATGTTTGCGCTATCTTTGGCGCAGCCGCAAGTTTCAACCCACATCCCAATGGGAAAAGCCATTGACGCATGCTTTTTCACTCTGCGCCACACAAAGCTGACTCATATGCCTGCAATGTGCGTTTGGAAAATTGATAAGCTCGCATGCGTGCCACAATCCATATACTGCTTTGGGGTCCTCTTCGTGTTTTTTTTTGCACACCCGGCTCACCCGGGAAAAAGCCAGGATATCGACAGGATCACCCCGCGAATCGACGGGATCACCCGGGAATTTTTCCCCGACCAAAAATGAATGGATTTGCATGACTCCTTCAGCTTCTTTTTGACACAATGGTGCCATTTGGGTTCTGACCTTTCTCGCACAGGCCTTTTGGTGCTCGCTCGTGTCCCGTGCCTCCATAAAGCCTGTGTGGCGCCCATGTCCGTCGAGGAAGAATTTTTGCCTCTCTATGAGGAGTTGTTGAAGACTGGCCCGGTCGATGCTCCGCGGCTTGCAGAGAACACTGGGCTGGAGCTTGAAGAGGCCGACCTGGTCTTGAAGTGCATAGCTGACTACTTGGAGGAGCACAACAAGAAGCCCCCCATGAAGAGGCCTGCCAAGAGCGAGCCCAAGGCCAAGCAGTCGGCCGCCAAGGGGAAAGCGAAGGCCGCTCCTGTTTTGGAGGAAGCTCCCGCAGCAGGGTGTGCTGAGACACAACTGGACCGACAAGACACTCAAGCAGTTGACACGCAAGAGATGGCATCTTCGCCTGCTGCTGACACCTCCGGTGGAGTGGATGACGATGCCAGTGAGGTGCCTGACAAGAGCCCTGCCACCACGGTGCCTGGAGACCTTAAGGATCCTGATGACACGGTGAAGGACCGAAGCCTGGAAAACCACATTTCCAGCAGCCAGCTTCGTGTGGGCATGTTTCAGTGACCACTCCTGAGGACGAGCTGAAACACCAGGGGACTCAGAGGCCGGAATGTGTACGTGCTCTGCCTGCAGACTTTTGTCTCACATTTCCTGTTTCTTTTCTGGCAGCTCGTTGGCGACACTGCTGCGTGGACAAAACCTACTTCGCGAGCAGCAGAGCAGTCTGGACCTGACGCAAGATGATGCGTCACAGTTGTCTGGGCCTCAGCTTTGGATGTATTTTTCGACTTTTCACGCATGTGGGTTTCACGCATGGAGGGTTGCATTCATTGGGGCTCACGCATGCGGGATCCATCAGGGTTTCACGCATGGAGGGTTGCATGCATGGGGGTTCACGCATCAGGGTTCAGGCATGAGGGTCATGAGGGTTTCACGCATGGAGGGTTGCATGGGGGTTCACGCATCAGGGTTCATGCATGAGGGTTTCACGCATGGAGGGTTGCATGCATCTGGTTTCACACATGAGGATTCATGCATGAGGGTTTCACGCATGGAGGGTTGCATGCATGGGGTTTCACGCATGAGGGTTCATGCATGAGGGTTCACGCATGGGGTTTCACGCATGGATTTCACGCATGAGGGTGCACACACACACATGCATGATGGCTCATATGTTAATAACATTTGACTCTGCGACTTTCGTATGCTCTGTCATCGCTTCAGGCACGGGCAGCCTGATGTCGGATCTCAGTTGGAGCTTCCGCGCGTTGCAGCTGAAGCGTTGTCTGGCCTTCCCGATGGACAGCTTCCAAACAGCACAACACACAAGAAGCAATGGAATGTTCTGGTCCGTGTGGCCACGGGTCCGCGCAGCACCCAATTTCCAGAGATAGCGCAAGTCTTTACGACTGGCTCCAGGATTCAGCAGAGGGAGTGTTTGCAGAGGTATCTGCAAAAGGGCGAGAATTTGGAGCAGTGTGAAGGTACTTTCACTGCGGAGAAAGAAAGTGCAACGGAGATCTGCGGAACACGAGAGCAACTGACAATCAAGGAGATGAGAGAAAAAGGATTTTCAGAGTCCGGCCCTCATATGGCTGCTTCTGTTTCTGGCAATATTCAGCCAATCCCCTTTTTTCTGTTTGTGTCTCTTTGAAAAAGACTCTCCCATGTCTGACTGAGGGCGAAAATCCGCGGGTGCGTTGAGCGGGGGGGCGAGGCCGACCCTGACGCCCCGAACTGCATGGAATCTATGAGATTCTGGTGTTTTGTTCACAAGAAAGAAGAAAATTTGGAAGCTACTCGGATGAAGACAGCCGTCCAAACACATGTCGACCCCAGCCATGTGTTGCAAGCCGTGACTGCTTCGGCACCGTCCTTCTTGAACAGAGTGCCACCTGCTGCGGCGCCTCAAGCACCCCCGCTGCCCCCTTCAAACCGACGAGGTGTGAGTGAGTATGGATCGGTAGTCCTTGAAAGATTTTCCCACCTGGTGCTTTTCTTCCGTCTTTACAATATGTTCATTATAGATATTAAAAATATACCATGCTAAACGCATTTCTTTCTGTTGTCATGCACACTGATCAATCAGCTGCGGGAAGGTGCTGCGAAGCCAAAGACACAGCCGAAGGCCAAGGGATCTGGACCTCTGGGGTTAGCCTTGCCTGGAAAAACCCTGGCGGAGAAGATCCAATTGGCACGTGCTGCTCTGAGCTTTTGTTTGTGCGGTTTGCCACTGCAGGATGCAGGATGGCCGTCCGTGTGACTGCCCCTACATATGCTCTTGCTCATGAGGCACCGAGTTGAAGAAGGAGCTGGGCAGCCTTAATAACCTTCAGGTGGACCTCAAGGGCAACTCTGCGGCGCATCCAAAGTTTGCTGCAGGGCTGGACGAGCTGGTGGTTCACTCCGACAACTTGACTGACCTGTTCACCAGGCCAGCAACAGAAGCATGCATCTTGCACGCTCCAGCAGTTTCAGCGGCAGGGTTGGAGAAGCCGCCACTGATGTCGACTTTGACCAGTGGCTGCAAGATGCTGCTGATGAGGTCACCATTGTCAGTGTGATGATTGTTTTTTTTTGCTTGGCCCTTCTTTCAGGTCACCAATTCCCGGCTGAAGCGGGCGGAGCTTGGAGCTGTTCTGAAAGAGTTCAAGAAGCGCCAACCTCAGAAATTCACATGCCTACTTTCCATGTGGCATTTTTCCCTCGCTGCGCCCAGGGGATACAAGTGAGCACGTGAATGAACTTTTGGGCTGTTGCCAACATTGGAAAGTTGGCGTCAGAGATGCGGACATGAAGCATCCAAATTTTGAACCTGGGAGATTAGATCTGCGAACGCTCTGGATCTGAACGGAACGCCTGGCAGAAAAAAAAAGAAATCCAATTTCAAGCGGGCACACTGTGCTCATCTGCATGCACCCTGTGCCAACTTTTCGCTTCTAATAGTTTCTCAAAACAACCTTTTCCGACTTGCAAGGTACTGCGGAACAGCTGCGTGAAGATTTGGACAGGAGGCAGCTCCTCATGTTTGGTGCTGTTGCTTTCTTCTTATGTTTTGCCGCAGGATTGCAGGTGAGGTTGGGGATGGCAAAGCTTCAATCAGCTTGGCATCCCGTCTTGGCCAAGCTTACCAATCGAATGTGTGGAGGCGGTCCCTCCACATGCAACTGTGCATGCATTTGATTCTGCTTTGAAGTGTTACTCTTTCCTTTTCATGTCTGGATTCCACGTGAGGCCTCATTCAAATGACGCTCGTGTATATAGCCGTCTTGTGAAAAAAAAATGGCGTTGCAAAACGTGATTCAGTATGTCCAACTGCCGATGCTGGATGCGGACGGTCAAGTTCGAATGATGGACTGGCCGGTGATTCTGCCACATGTGCTGGCCGGGAGCTCATTTCCGTCACTTTCTTTCCCAGACATATTTAGCTGCCTTCCGGGTTTGAGGCAAATGAACTGATCGAGTCTGGTTATGATGACGTTCTTGGGTGCGGGTCCTGTGACTATTGGAACACTCTAAGCCAACAATTTGGCATTGAACCACCACCGGATGGAAAGAACGCTGTAGGCATACAATTTTTTGGAGATGAAGCTGAGATCTACAAGACCAGTTCCTTAATGTGTTTTAGCTGGATGAGTGAAAACACACCTTTCTGGACTGACGCAAAGAAGAGCAGGTTCTTGATATGTCTCCTGCCAGTTGACTCTTACTATATCGAAGGGCAGGTCAATGTCACGGTGCAAGAGGTCATGAAGCATGTGGCTGCGTCCCTTAATGAATGGCACGAGCATGGAGTTCAAAACTTGTATGCCCGCTTTTGCAGCTTGAAAGGAGATTGGAAATGGCTTGAACAATGTCTGAACCTTCAACGGAAGCCTTCCAAGGATGAGATATGCTTCCTTTGTATGGCAACAAAATCAATGACCAGACCCATGACAGATATTGGGCCATCTGCTTGCTGGAAACACGATGTTGCACCAAAACCGTGGAATGTGGAGCCGCAAATCTGTCAGGTCAAGGGCTTTTCTTTAAGCCTGGTTTCGCTCGACATCATGCATATTTGGCATCTTGGATTTGGACGCGACCTGGCATCGTCGATTCTTCTAATTCTGCTACGCTCCCATGTTTTCCATGGCTCCAACGCAACTCGTCTCCAAGAACAGCTGTGTATAATGTGTGATGTAGTTGATAAATTTCTGCTTTGTAGCACATCCATGTCGTGGTGTTAACAAAGGTGAGCATATGTAAATGCATATCGTGCACCTACATATACATATTCCTATATATATATATATATACATCTTTCTCTCTCTGTCTTCTTCTCTCTTAGAGATATTTGCCTTTTTGTACTTTGCTCAGTAATTTAGAAAACTTTTGACTGGGCCAGGAGCACATGGTGAGCTGAGGTAGCTGCTCGAATGCATCGGGCCAGCCGCATGATTGTGAATTGGTCCCGCAACAATGGAAAACGCAAACTTCCAAACAGCTGGCATTTGACAAAAGCAAAACTTTGCCTTAAATCAGGGTCTTATTGCCACATGTTGGGGAAGGCTTGGCATACCACTGTCGTGTTGCAGTTTTTGGCTTCTTTTCTGCCAAGCACCAATGTTGATCCATTGATCAAAAGTGCTGTTTGGGCCGCTGATTCGGTTATAGGGCTATTGACAGAGAGCCGCGCAGAGGGTATCTTTCTGAGCCCGGAAGAAATTTCTCAAGTGCAACACGTCGGACACTTTCTCTTGGATTCATATTTGCGGCTTCACAGGAAAAACACCGGCTTCTGCGTATACAAGCTTTTTAATTTGCGTCCGAAAGTGCATTTATTTGACCACTTGATTGCTTCTGCAAAGAAGTTGAGAAACCCGCTATGCAGTGCCACATTTATGGATGAAGACTGGATTCGCCTTACCATGCAGTTGGCAAGCAAGTGCCACAAACGTACAGTGCAGTCGGCGACCCTGCAACGTTACTGCGCAGGACACTGCTGATTGCAATGCAATGCATGCAGTGACGCACGGTGCGTGAAGTGGCACCCCTACCCCAGGATTGAAAAAAGAGATGGAACTTGCCAAAGCCCTCCTCTGTTCAGAGCTCAGATGGCTTTCATCATGCTGACGTGCATGGAGGGTTGCATGCATGGGGGTTCACTCATGAGGGTTCATGCACGAGGGTTTCACGCATGGACGGTTGCATGCATGGGGGTTGCACCCACCAGGGTTCATGCATGAGGGTTTCACGCATGGAGGGTTGCATGCATCCGGTTTCACACATGAGGGTTACACGCATGGGTGTCAGGCATGAGAATTTCACGCATGATGGTTAATTCACGTTTCACTCACTTTCGAAATTGCTTCGCTGATAGAGGATCCGGGACCTTTACTTGAAGTTGGCAAGGCCCTGCACCCAGCGCAATCCCTTTGCTGCTGCTTTCAAGCCGGTTTTGGAATTTTTGCTTCATGAGGCCTGGTGCCTGAGAGATGGAAGGGGTTTCCACTAGAAGATATCTGTTGTTTCCAAAACTGGAAAAAGAAACTGGGTGTGCGCGCTGAAGGCAATGCCTCTTCATCCGTGGTTCTGGTGCAGATTTGTGTGGGCAAAGTTGTTCTAAACGTAAAGGGCTGAAAAGATCCCAAACCACCAAAAGGGGAGATGACATTGATATGGGGCTATCGTCGGGATCACCCCTATGAAATGCATCTCTGGGAACGACACAGAAATTACACTCGTCCTGGAATCACGGAGTTCTCGCACCCTCAGTGGATCGTGAAGTGACCGCATAGCTTGCAATGCAGGCGTGTTGCAAGGATGCAGTAACCGCGTCAGCAAAAACCATTCAAAGTGCAAACACTTCTTGTTCCCATAGCACGCAGATGGAAAGCATTCCGACCAATAACACACCTCCACCTCCTTGTCATTTTTTCCCAACCATATCTCCGCATCAAGCATCGCAAGTACGTCGCGTCTGCAGCATCCAGCTTACCTCGACGCCGACGCACCTCACCGCCATCATCCACCACAAACGCCTTCGTGCCCCACAGGATGCCAAGGACCACCTGCAAGCAACACCATCGGGAACCGGCAAGACATGAAAAAAACAAACACCAACCGACCATGCAATAGTTTTGACAACCACCCACCTCCACCACATTTTCACGATCTTCATAACCACCAGAACCGTCCCATTCACAAGGAGCTTTAAGTGTGTGGACATCCCACAAACGGCCCGCCACTTCCAACATGTCCGAGTCGATGGTGAACCCCACCAAACGACACCATCCAAGTCGCCTTTCTTCCAATACACTCAGCAAAACACAGGACAACAATGCCACAACTTGATGCCGCAGCAAATGCTCCACGCCAACGGAGGCGAAGTAACCCGGTAAATCCAATAAATCAACAGAATCCATGACAGCTTTGCTGGGCAACAATTGTTGCACTTCATCGAAAGTAGCAAGAAGCGGCAAAGTCGCATCAACCACACGAGCATCCAAAGAAGCAAGCGTAAGATGAAATCCTTCCACCTGACCCATAGTCTTGTCGCCCAAAACAGCTAATATACGCATGCGATCTTTTTGTTCTGGAACGGCATCTCGGAGCAATGCACTATCAGGCGCCGAAGAACTTCCCAAACAGCGTTCGAGCCAGCGCCACAAGACACTTGCATCAGGCGCAATGGCATCATCTTCACACGGCTCCTGCTCAAAAAAAACAAAAACACAGCCGCACTTGATGTTTTTACAAAGCCGACAATGTACAAACGAACATTGCAAACGAACATCAGCATGATCACTATGCAATTCTCGAGATCTCATGGACAGCTCCTACAGAAACCTCGAGAAATGCAACAAATGTTGAAGATATCCGTTTGTCAATCCCTAACATTTTACAAACATTCAGTGTACATATAAGATATATAAGAATTTTGATGTTCAAAAAAGCTCAGTACCATGATGCCGTGTTTAACACATGTTCTTTCATTTTATTATGCAAAATCCCACATAAATGGTTCAAAACAGTTCGGTACCATGATGCCGTGTATGAAATAAGTCATTTCGTTTTATTTCGGAAATAACACATCATCTTGCATTGTCTTGCATTGTCTTGCAACACCTTGCATCATCCTGCATTGTCTTGCATCATCTTGCATTGTCTTGCATCATCTTGCATCGTCTTGCATCATCTTGCATTGCCTGGCATTGTCTTGCATCATCTTGCATCATCTTGCATCATCTTGCATCAGCTTGCATTGTCTTCCGTCATCTTGCATTGTCCTGCATTGTCTTGCATGTTTGTGCCATATATCACATAGATCCACTGCACCGCAAACGAGCATTGGCATGATCACTATGCAATTCTCGGGATCTCACGGACAGTCCCCACGGAAACCTCGAGAAATGCAACAAATGTTGAAGATATTTCTTTGTCAATCCCTAACATTTTACAAACATTCAGTGTACATATAAGATATATAAGAATTTTGATGTTCAAAAAAGCTCAGTACCATGATGCCGTGTTTAACACATGTTCTTTCATTTTATTATGCAAAATCCCACATAAATGGTTCAAAACAGTTCGGTACCATGATGCCGTGTATGAAATAAGTCATTTCGGAAATAACACATCATCTTGCATCATCTTGCATCGTCTTGCAACACCTTGCATCATCCTGCATTGCCTTGCATCATCTTGCATCATCTTGCATCATCTTGCATCATCTTGCATCATCTTGCATTGCCTTGCATCGTCTTGCATTGTCTTGCATCATCTTGCATCATCTTGCATCGTCTTGCATCATCTTGCATCATCTTGCACATATCCAATTACAACCAAAATTTGCACGCCCGCGCCTCTGATGGAGGCAACAAGACTTTCATAAGGGCGCTGCGCAGCTCTGCTACAGAGAGCCATTTGTGGTCGGGTCGGGTCTCCACACCACCCACAGCAGCCAGGTCACGAAGTTCATCTCTCGATATCTCTGACAAAGCACGACGGAGCCATTCCACACCATGTGAAACAGCTTCTACATGAAGTTCTTCAAATTTGGCAGCCAATGCAACTTCCCGATCATCCACCTACAGCATCCAACACAGTGCCACCAAAAAAAACACCCATCCTACAAAATCGCACCATGTGACAAACATTCAACTTTGACCACAAAAATAAGAATTTGATTAAAACCCATTTTTGACGCACCCAACCTCCCTTGATGGCGCCAAGACTTTCATCAACGCGTCGCGCACCTGTGCTACAGTGGGCCATTTGTTGTCGGGCCGTGCCTCCACACCACCCGCAGCAGCCAGGGCCCGAAGCTCACCGCTTGCTAGTTTCGACAAAGCACCATGGAGCCATTCCACACCATGTGAAACAGCTCCTACGCGAAGTTCTTCCAATTTGGCAGCCCATCGATCATCCACCTACAGCATCCAACACAGTGCCACCACAAAAAATAAAACAACACCCATCCTACAAGATTGCACCATGCGACGAACATTCAACTTTGACCACAAAAATACAAATTTGATGAAAAAACAATTTTTGACATGGCGCCAAGACTTTCATCAACCCGTCGCGCAGCTCTGCTAGAGGGAGCCAGTTCTCGCTGGATCGTGTCTCCACACCACCCACAGCAGCCAGGGCGCGAAGCTCATCTCTGGATGTTTCCCACAGAGCACCACGGAGCCATTCCACACCATGTGAAACAGCTCCTCCGCGAAGTTCTTCCAATTTGGCAGCCCATGCAACTTCTGGATCATCCACCTACAGCATCCAACACAGTGCCACCAAAAAAAAACACAAACACCCATCCTACAAAATCGCACCATGTGACGAACATTCAACTTCTAGCAAAAATACAAATTTGATTAAAACCCATTTTGTTGACGCACCCAACCTCCGTTGATGGCGCCAAGAATTTCATCAACGCGTCGCGCAGCTGTGCTACAGTGAGCCATTTGTTGTCGGGTCGTGTCTCCACACCACCCGCAGCAGCCAGGGCGCGAATCTCATCTTTTTAGATTCCCGACAGAGCATGACGCAGCCATTCCTCACCATGTGAAACAGCTCCTACGCAAAGTTCTTCCAATTTGGCAGCCCATCGATCATCCAGCTACAGCATCCAACACAGTGCCACCACAAATAAAAAAACACCCATCCCACGAAATCGCACCATGTGACGAACAT